CAAACTTGTGTATGTAGATGTCATAGATGGTTGTTTATTTTTCATTGAAGATATTGTCTATGAAATAATTCATTTAAATATAACAACTAAAGATCATAATAATTAAATAATATTTAATATGATTAGATTTATTTTTAATTTAGTCATTTTATAATTATCATAATTAAAAAAATATGATCCTTAAATAGAATATATTTTTTATAAATTTAATTTTTTTTATAATTTAATCTAAGATTTTGCTAATTAAATAAAAACCTATAAGTCTAATATAATTAGAGCTTTATTAATAGATGCAAGAGCTTTTAAGCATATTGTAAAAGAAATATCAACTATTGCTCTACACAATGTACCTATTTTTTATAGAAAAAAGACTTGAAGTGGCATTCCAAGTCAATAACAAGATTATTAAGATGTTTTAGAGAAGAAAAATATAAATATTTTTCCAAAGCATAGTCCCTATGACTATTCCATCAATCTTCAAGAAGGAGCTTAACTATCATTTGCATCAATTTATAACTTATTGAAGAATAAGTTGGCTATATTTAAGGAGTATATTAACAAGAACTTGCCTAAAAACTTCATTTGTCATTCTAAATCTGCAATAAGATTTTCTATCTTATTTGTAAAGAAAAAAGATAAATCTTTGCACATATGTATAGACTATTGAAGATTCAATACGATTACCATCAAAAATAGGTATTCTATATCTTTGATTTTAAGTCTTCTTGATTAACTCAATCAAGCAAAGATTTATTAAAAAAAATAGATTTACAAAGAGTATATAACCTGATATGCATCAAAAAAAAAAAAAATGAATAGAAGATTATATTTTATACCAAGCATAAACATTTTGAATATAATGTCATGTCTTTTGGATTCACAAATATACTAGCTGCTTTTGAAAATCTAATAAATAATATCTTTTATGAATTTCTTAATGACTTGGTTGTTTGTTATTTAAAGAATATTTTAATCTATTCTAAAAATATAAAAGAACATGAACTTCATATTTGTCATGTGTTATAAAAACTAAAAGATGCAAGATTATATGCCAAGATAAATAAGTATGTATTTTATACTACTCAAGGTGGCTCTTTAAAATACATCATTTCAAACAATGGCTTTATAATAGATCTTAAAGTCAAGACTACTATAAATTAAAAGATCTCAAAAATAGTCAAAGATGTGCAATATTTTTTAAAATTTGACAATTATTATCAGATCTTTATCAAGAATTTTTTTCAAGTTGCAACTCTTCTTACATGTCTAACATGTAAAAACAAACTAAAATGGAATAAAGAAGCTAGAGCATCTTTTAAAGTTTTAAAAATATTTTTTTTTTGTATTAATTTTATATTGCATTGATTTTTTAAGATATTCTTTATAAAAACAAATACATTAGATTTAACTATGGATGCAATTTTGTCACAAATAGGAGCAAATAATAAATTCTATTCAATGGTTTTTTATTCCAAGAAATTTTTAACAAGTGGAATCAATTATAAAATCCAAAACAAAGAGCTTCTCATGATTGTAGATTCATTTCAAGAATAGCATCATTATTTAGAAGGTGCTTTTAATTTAATAATTTTATATACATATCACAAGAGCCTCAAGAATTTTATAGCAATAAATCTTTTGAATCATTGCTAAGCTTGTTGGAGCATGTTTTTATTAGGATTTGATTTCAAAATCACTTATTGACTTAAAAAATAATAAGATTTATTAGACTTTATTTTAGACATTCTTATCTTTTGTTCAAAGGAGAAAATATAGCTTTTAATAAACAAAGACATTTTTTTTTAAAGTCAAAGCATTTTCATCTTCAAGTCATGAAATCAACATTGACTATTGATTCAACATTTCTTAAGCAAATTCAATCAAGTATGTCTTCTGATCCTCTTGTTCATGATATTAAGAATAATTCTTTTAAATCTCACAATGCTTCTAAATTCAAATTTAAGAATAATCTACTTTATTTTAAAATATAATTATATATTCCAAAAGATAAAATATAATTATGTATTCTTCAAGCTTATTATAACTTTTCAATAGCTAAATATTTTAGATACAATAAGAATTTGAAATTAATATTTAAAAACTTTTAGTCGCTTCAAATATGGAAGGCAATTAAAGACTTTGTACAATCATGTGACATTTGTTCAAGATCAAAAATTCTTCATTATTGACTTTATAGACTTCTTTAGTCATTATCTATTTTTAAAAAATCATGGTCTTTTGTTTCTATGTATTTTATCACAAATCTTCCAGTCTTAGGTTCTTATGATTCTATATTCATGATAATAGATTGTTTTAGCAAGATGGCACATTTTGTACCATATAAAAAATCTATCATAAATAAAGTTACAATTAAAATTTTCATTGAAAATATCTATAGCTATTTTAGATTGCCCAAGGACATTATCTCAAATAGAAGACTCAATTTGTATCAAGATTTTGGAGAATTCTTTTTAAGATTTTGAAGATGGATATAAAACTATCTTTGAATTTTTATTTTTAAATTGATGGACAAATTGAGCTCATAAATTAAGTTTTGGAGTAATATTTGAGGTATATCATCAACTACTAATAAGATGATTAGACAATTCTTTTGCCATTGGCAAAGTTTTCTTATAATAATACAATACATTCTTCTATGCAATAAATATCTTTTTTTATTCATTATAGTTATCATCTATAACTTGATGCTTTTGACTTCATAAAAATTGATAATCCTAAGACAAAAGATTTGACAAATCATTTATCTCATATATATACAATAATAAAGGTACAATTAAAAGAAGCTTAAGAACAACAAAAGACCAACATTAATGCCTATTGCAAGGAGCAACTTCAATTCTACATTGGCAATAAAATATAATTATTTCATTGTAATATCAAGAATAGCCAGCCTTGTGACAAATTAGATTATTGTAAGCTTAGACCATTACTTATATGTGAATAAATCAAAAATACGAGGTTAAAAAAAAAATAGATTTAAGGCGGCACCAAACTAAGTTGAAATAATTTGTTGATTGGTATGATTATAATATTAATTAATAGATATGAAAGCATGCCAAGAATCTTACAAATGCAGCAAAAAAGATTAATGCTTTTTATCAACAACATCCATCAAAATCAAGATGAAAAGTAGTAAATCTTTGCTTTAAAAGAAACAAGAGTGAGGAAAGTTTACATTCTATTTTCTATCCTTGTTTGTAGTTTTTGTGTATTTGTGGGACTAAAAAAATAGAAAACCAATAGCCAATAGATTCAACTCAAGAGTTATGATTTGTTCATATATAGGATGAGACATTAGAATTGAGACAACCTTCAAGACGACATAATAGAAATGCGGATCCTTAAGAACAACATGTTCTTTTTTAAATAGATGGCAAGATACAATATGTTTGATATCATGACTTTAGAAGAAACTTTTGATATTTGGTGATTTTATTGGATGTAGAAACAACTCCTAATAGTATTCCAAATGTTTTATTTGAAAAGTAGTTATGAAGGCATCAACAATGATTAAATAATAAGGTGGACTTTCCATCCTAATATGAGATACTATTAATGGCTAAAAATATTTATCAACTACCTTCAAATAAAATAAAGATCAAAAATATGGGGTAAACATAATTTATTACATTTTAAACTTCTTCAATATATGATGACTATTTCTTGTAGAACTTGGTCCTGAAAGAGGAGGTAATGTCATGGACATACATATTTACATAGATAAGAAGTGCTAAATAGAAGGCAAATGTAGGTAGATTTAATATTATCTTTTGGCAAAGCTTCTAAAGAGCTTCATAGTTGTATATTTGACTTTGTAAATATTTATAGTTGATTGGTAGGATAGAAACTTGGCCAACAAATTAGTCATGTACTGCATGTGTAGATAGTTTGTGGTATAAGCTAACGATGTGATGTGCATATAAAAAACTTACCTTATAAATTAAGACATGTATCTTGCTAATTGGACATATGTTGGAGGTCCTATAGAACATCACTATGTAACTCCTAATAAGATAGTATATATGGAGGCAAAAGTGAAGCTTTCTTCACTCTTGTCAATGCCTCTTTAGTCAGTCTTGTTTTAAGACATTTTAGTCTTCTTGTTTTAGACAATAGCCAATCTAGTTTAATATTATACCATATTTGAGTGATTCTCTAATCTTTTTGAGTGACATAAGAGAGTATTGATCTTTTAGTTCTTTAAAATTCATATCCTTGACACCATGTTATACCACAACATTGGTAGGCACTAACAATTGCAAGCCATAGAGATCACTACCAAAAGCTATTACTTCCATGTTGCAACTTGTCAAATATATGGCCAAATTGATAGCATCATGACTATAAAAAATTTAAACTTCGTGGTAGTAATAATCGTTTATAATTGGATATTGGATGCTTAAGTTGTAAAGTCAATGCCAAAGTGTAGGTATATGTGAATACAATAGAATTCTAATTTGATCTAATGGAGCGTGAAGTGGTGATGTTTTTTCACAATTGTATTGAAAAAATTGTGTATTTCTTCACTTACAAAGTGGCTATATTCATTTTTTTGGCAATAGCTGTTTATTTGTTTCTTGGAATAATATCTTCATGGATTTAAAAAATACATATATTAGTAAAATGGTTGTTTTTGTCACCAATACATATAACATAAAATAAAACATGGTAATATAAATGATATGATTACTTCATGTCTTGCTGATAGCATATGTAGAAAGTTTATTAACATGTGGAATTCAGCTTATCAACGTTGCAGTGGAGATAAAAGGACTCAGCTCGCTTTCCATTTCGCTTGTGCCCAATCATATCACATGAGATAAATGCGCCACAGCCCCAAGTTTGGAGCAGTGTGATTTCTATCCAAAAAGCAATAAACGAAAACGAAGACAATCAAGCTCTCGCTGCTACCACCATGAATCCAATTTTTTCTCCATCAATCCAAATTAAAGTCTCATTTGTAAAATGTGGTGCTAAAATTTAGAATCCTATCTGCAAATACCAACTTCGATATTGATAAGCGTTGAAATATCCAGAATCAACCAGTTGGATTACCAAATGCCTTCACAAAGCTGGCGACAACCAACTTGGAACCCAGAGATACTTGAGCTGTAACCAACAACACGAGTGTTCGAAAAGAGGAGCTTTAGGGACACAACAGTGCTGAGGAGCGATCGTCCCCTACGCACTACATACTACTGACGAATCGCTACATGGTACTAACCCTAACTCTACGGCATCTGCCATATCATATCAAAACTTCTGAGCAGGTTACCCTAGCAGCAACCACCGCAGTCTACATTGACATCGAAAGTATACATTGACTAGTGTAATTCCCCAAACAGCCACTCTCTATTCATATCAAGTAAAATGCTAAACTACTAAGATTCTAATAAACTTGCGTTTCGAGAATATTGAACCAACACTATCTACTGAACAGTGTGGTCACAAACTCGAGCATCATCACTCGAACAATAGCAAAATTCCAGTACCCATATGCTCAACTTTTGTGCTTTGCTGCAATGTGTTGGCTCATAGCAGATTCCGTTGTGAACGTCCTGCAGAGGTATGGTTCCATCAGACGCAGTCATCAACCCATCAATACGGAAATATCTAATCACACAGGACTTGACACAACTTGTCACATTGGATACTCAGACAGTACGAATGTAGTCTTCATGCCTACATGGCTCAGACCAAAATTCTTCATCACTGCATCCTTCCACATACTAAGCAATGACAGATCAAACCACATATGTTATTACCGTGCTCACTCCACCTCTCCTTCATAAGCTCGTTATGTAACATTTGCGCTATCCAATAACTACCAAGCTCTTGGACACCAACGACACTAGTGATCACGTCTGGGTGCTCAGATTTCAAAAATGGATATAATTTCCTCCTGCCGTAATGGCTCAGATTAACGAGATATATTATTCATCACAGCACCCATCCGCGAGAAATCAAATCAAATCAAACTTCAGCCCCTCAAAACAAGATACAAGAACCAGTTCCCGTGAGTCTCACCTGTCACAACCCGTGCACTGGTGAGGTCCAGCCTTCTTTTCGGATACTGGTGTTGGCGGAGGAGCAGTAGGAGTGCCCTTCAGTGCCTGTCATCAAAACAAAACTTTGTGTTGAACAAAAGAGTGGAGACATCCTCTTATGCACGATAAGCAACAGGCAGTGAATGCTCAGGTATTTTGAATGGTGTAACTCTCTTCAGATCTTTACAGATCAGATTAACGAGATATAGTTTCTCCTCATCGCATCCTTTGTAATAAGCACTTCGACCCAACTCGACTGTGTACGAAGAATCATCAGCCATTTTGTCAAGCGGAACAATGACTTATCAAAAAATCCACATACACGTCCTCACCTTAGCCAGCTTTACTCCCTTGTCTGTCGGAGTTTTAGGAGCCTCTTTAGTCACGGGTGTCACCTGCCCGCCCTTATCTCCTTTCTTTCCCCTAGATCCAGGTGCTGCATTAAACAATCCCATCAACTATCAATACCATAACACTGTTCAGTATCATCAAAGCCAGACACACAAATACTATGAATTACCGAACATAAGCTATGCAAATATTCAACGATGTCATTTCATAATCGATCCCAATCCACTATCACGAGAAACTACACCGTCAACTCCTCAGCTTTTAACATGTTGCATCTAAACCCTCTCATTAGCTTAGGTCGATACCTTGGCTGCCTGCAACGATCAGGCTCTGCCAGTATTCTGCAGCGGCTTGCTTTCCTGCTAACGTTTTCCTTTAGAAGAACACTCCAGCATCTACTGCTCCAGACCTGTCTAGACATTACTTGACAGCAACACAAAACCTTCTCGTAGTGGTCAAATAAATAGAAGAATCACCTGACTTGGGAGTGACGTCCATCTTGGATTTCTTCTCGACATCCTTCGTAGCCACCTCTGCCGCAGCTCTCTTCTTCCCAGCCTGCGACAACAATTCAACTCTTTCGTAAGAAAATACTACCAAACATTTTTGGTGACAACATCGACCTAATTATATTTACTTTTACACATTTACCAGACATGAGATGGAAGACCGTATCACTAACTGCCATGCAATCTGTGCATTCAACCAAAGTTTTAACTTCTACATCCATAATGTTAATTTCACCTTTGCGGTTTCAATCGCCAACTCTTCTTCCTCAGATTCATCCGAATCATCTGAATCATCCTCATCCTCGTCACCCTCATCGTCCTCATCCTCATCCATGTCCTGAAAGACATTGATCATTGCCTTGATAATCTGATGTAATTACCACTAACACAGAAGACAGAGACAGGTCCAAAAGTTCCAACAGCTGACAAATTGTGGGAAGTGACGCTGACTGTAAGCAGCCAGACAGTGAAGTGGTGCTCAACCAGGCTACAGAAAATTAGCAAGAACTGCTTGTGAGATTTGTGCGATTTGTGCGATTTGTGCGTCGATTACCATAAAACACATACATCGTCACTTACACTGACACCATTGCCATAAAAACACATACAACCTTAATTGGAATCACCCTCACATGAAGCTCGGTAGGCTAGATTGGTCTTGAACGGATGTGTTACAAGATCGTCCTTTTTCACCCGACCCGACAACAAAATTGCTAATTGCTCTCACTAACAATTTGTTGTTTACCATACAATTCAACCTCAAGTCAGCCTCAGGAAGTTGAGTGTGCAATAAAAATCGTAAACAGACCACCAAGGTGAAACTTAAACATGAAAAGCGCTTCACTCATTCGAATCCAGAAATCACTGACAAAGAACAACTCACATCGTCCGAATCTTCTTCGTCATCTTCCTCATCAGAGTCGCCATCCGGGACAACTTGCTTTTTGAGAGATTTATCCTGCATGGCTTTCTCAACGACCTTTGCAACGTCAGTAGCAGCCTTATCAGTCACCTCCTTGATTATCTTTGACCCATTCGATTCGACTGGTATCGTTGCAACCGCGAGAGCACCGTCTTCCTCGTCCTCGTCCTCGTCCTCGTCTGAAGACCAAGACATATCAGCAAAGCAACCACAATAGTTAGCTACGTCCAAGAACGTAAAAAAATGCTCTAGGTTTTCCCTAACACGCGAGCCAATTCCGAGAAAATATATCAAAAAATAAGTAACAAAACAATCACAACAAAGACGAGGACATTCCTAACAAGAATACCAATTCCGTCTCATGCAGAACATTACCTTCAGAACCATGTTCTTCGGGGCCTTCCGTCCGGTATCCACAAATGTAGACACTTGAAGAGCTGCTGTTATGAGAAACTTTGAACTCTCTGTCAAAAACAAGATCCAGTTGCATTTGATCACATTTGCCTTCCGAAAGAGTCCCCAGCACAACCTCGCTGTCATCAACTTGAACCTTCAGAACAACCCTGTCATTCCCCTTGCCCCCTTTGACCTTGCTCTCTCCAAGAGCAACCTGATACAGCAATATTACAATGAACCAGTGAGTAAAGCACAATGGTGGATTGAGGTGGTACTCCAAACCTTGCACCTGCTTGTGCATGGGTGAATGAAAATACTAAGGAATAATTTACTAAACATGTTGAAGGAAAAAGTACCTTAGAAGCAATTCTAACGTGGGGTAATAGGTGCAGGAATTCAATATACATTCGACGATTTCTTTCAAAGAGAAAACATAACCAATGTTGCGATGCGTACCTGGGAAACATGAAGGTACATCCCTTCGCCAGGAGAACATGAAATAGGCTTGCCAGCCGGCACTTCGACACCTGCACGCATAATTAAAGCATCCATGCAAAGATTAAAAGACTCATTCATGATTCGGAAAACAATAATTTGGACGAAATCAAGGATACCGTTACGCTATGGTGTGGGGACAACAGATACTCGATTCCCACATAAGCAACTACTTCTAGACAGATAAGAACCCACAACATTGAGAAAGCAACCCCATTCAGGTGTCAATGTGCAATCAACAATTCAATCTTCCCTGTCGTGAGAAACATAGAAATACAAACGATACAGACAAAATGAAGCCACGAGTGCGTAACACAAAAACATTTCCAACCCGATAAAGATAAACCCTGTACAACGAAGCACCTTGATCATGACTAAAACCTAATGGTGAACACGGAGACACCTATGCAACTGAACTCCAGAAGTCCTGTTCCATCCACAATGTACTTTTGGCAACAGTTTGTAAAAAGAGCTACGAACGATAATCTGTCGATTGGTGAAGACAGACAGGGACTTGGACCCGACACATAACCAGGCTTAAACCCTCGACGACACGTAAAGAAAACCACTGAAATAAAATTTGAACAAAAAAAAAAAAAAAAAAAAAAAAAAAGGGCAGCAACTCGTTCGGAGCAATGCTTCTGCTCTCACCAGTGCAGGACGCCGCTCATTGCCAAAAATACTTATCACATGATTGTACCTCCCATGAGGCAAGGAAGCCATTCCAGAGAGAGGTAATCAGGGTTTAAGAAACACGCACCCCAAAAATCCATTACGAAAGATCAGACAGTCGTAAACAGATGCCTCGGCACACACTGAACCAGGCAATTGAGGGATACCTCCAGCGAATAGAGCACTCGTCAGCAAACAAAAGCATCGGCGAGAACTCCAGCATTTGTCCGCCCTTATCTACCTTGAATAGGGCTACAGCCATCGCTCAGCCGGTCATAGTTAGGGCTACCACCTGTTGTAGCCCGTTTCCGAGCCGACTGCTGGGTTCATTGTGGTATTCTGGACTTGACGGCGACTGACATAGTACTCAGAGATCCGGTAACCAAACTCTGTGTTTTAGGGTATGGGTTTAAACAAGTGGGATCTCGAGTGAAACAAGCCCACTTTGCAACAGGAGTCTAGGCTTTAATACAAAGTGTGTGTGTAAGTATTTAAATGTACATAGATAAACTTTACAGCAGATGAAGATGTTGAAGTTGTGTTTCAAGGCCTTTTTACAATAAAGGTCAAACATAAATTATGTAATTACATTTTAATGTAATAGTTGAACATTTTCATCAATTAAAGGTAATGTATATTATAACTAAGTGAACTCTAGAATCTTAGAGCTCTTACAAAAACATTTCCATTTTTACATTACTTACAGTTGTTATATTGTTAAGATTTACAACCTTTTGTTACACAACATGTGTAATTTTAAGAAACCATGAAACACTTGGCACAAAACTTCTTTGCAATTTTTTTTTTAAATGTACTAAGTATTTTTTTTATAATAATGAAAAAAAACTTTAAGATAGTGCAGAAGATATTTTTGAATGTAAAATTTACTTTAATTAAATCATATAATATTTATATACATCAAAATCAAAATGATGAATTTACAAACAGAAGTTGGAATTCACATACTGATTTGTGTTAGATCTTTTGTTGTAACTACTGATTGTGTAAAGGTCAATCAATTGTGCTCAGACTCATTCATAGGATTCATCTATAAAGTCTTGAGAAGTTGTGATGGCAGTGGTGTTGATTTAAGTATTGATGCATCCATAATAATCTATAATTTAGCCGAAATTAGATTTAATATTATAAATTTAATTACAAGACTTGTTTGTTGATTTCACAATATATATATATATATATATATATACATAGATATATATAATTGATATACTAATGTATCCATTATATCATTTTTTAGAAGTTAATTTGCTTTTTCAAGACTAATTTAAACTAATTTAATTAATTTGGATTAAAACATTTATACACAAAATATAACATAATGTATAAAATCTTATATATTCATAAAGTATTATTTGTTAAATAGAAATTCAATCAGCAATTGGTTTTATATAAATTGGTCATGAATTCTACAGATCATCATGAAAGATTCTATGGCTGCAATCAGATATTTCTGTAAATTTTTAATAAATTTTTTTTTCAAATATGTATGATTTAAAATATTATTTTGTTTTCTTAAAGTATTGTTAAAACAACTTCTTTGAATACAAGATACCAACTATTCTACAATTTCTGCTGAAATTATGCAAAAAATAAATAAATATAAAAATTTAAAATTCAAAAATCAGAATATTTTTGTATGTAACAAGTTTAATTTATTTTTAAAGTGTTCTTTACAATAAAAATAATGAGTATATATATATATATATATATATATATATTAGCGGTTGGCACTTGCTTTGCAACGCATTAGTCCAACCATTTTAATGTAGTTCTTATATTACAAAATAGTTTAAAAGGAAGGTAACAACAATCTACATATATAAATATGTCTTCATGACCTAAGCATGAATTTTAAGAATGTAATATAATAGAATAGAGTAATAAATTTTAGAAATAAAATGCATCTAAAGATGCATGCATTGGAAAATTTCCATTCATTGAATAGTGAAATTCAAGATGTCACCTTCTTCAATTGAATGGTAAGTTGTCTCAATTGAGAAAACATAATTGAACACCAAAAGAATGCAATTAGATGGAAGGGGACGTCGCCAAAGCGTGCATGAACCCTAAACATGCAGAGTTTGAAACAAACTCTTAACTTTTCCATCCACCTGATTCAGGTGTAAATATTTATAGGAATTTATATGACAATGTCATGTAAAAACCTCATGATAAACAATGTTTTTAACCATTCCCACGGCTTCATTGTTGTCATTGGCAACCTTAATGTTTGCAGGATGTCTACCACGAGACAATGCCACATATAATTGACCATGGCTAAATACTTCATTGCGAAGATAAATGCCAACTCGATCATATGATTGGCCCTGCGATTTGTTGATTGTCATGGCAAAAGCACCAGTGACAGGAAATTGTCTCCGGCAAAGTGTGAATGGCAAGCGGCTATCGTTGCAATGATGTGTGATTCTAGGAATCAATACCTCTTGGCTACGATAGCGTCCTTCTACAATTTCACATAACAACATACTGGAAGACACTTGCAAAAGATGCAAATGACTACCATTGCACAAACCTTTTGCCGGATTCAAGTTCCTTAGCAACATCAAATATTGGCCACATTTAAGACTTAATTGGTGAGGAGGCAAACCGCTCAATTGTAAAGAATTCAAAAACTCTACTGGGTAATGATGGGCATGTTCATCATTCTCGTGAACAAAATCAGCACTAAAACATTGTTGCACATCACCAGGTATACGATCGGTGATTTTTCGGTTGATTTCTTGGGCATCATCATTCCGGACAGCCAAAATGACGCGCTCAAAAAAATCAACCAGATCATCAAAAATAGCATCAATGAGACCATCTAAAGAATTTCCAGGAGCAACTAATCCTAGCGGTAAATCTACCTTTGGACCGGTTTTGCCCTCACCAATATCTAACAAAAATCGTTGAAAGTCCGGTTGACTTTGCAAACGCATGTTAGTGGTCAAATGAAAATGTTGCATTAGTGGAAATAGGTATGAATGTCGCAAGCAAGCTTGAACAATTTGCTTGCGACCTCCACGTACAACTACAGGCAAAGTTTGGCAAAAATCACCGCCATATAATACTACAACACCACCATTTGGACTATCTATATTGCGTATATCTCGCAATGATCCGTCTATAGCTTCAAACATAAAACGATGCCCAACACAAGCTTCATCAAGTACAATCAATTGTACTTCACGTAAGCTTTGACCTAATGTAGACTGGGCACTAATGTTACAAATTGATGCATCGTGCAACTGTAAAGGAATAGCAAGAGCTGAATGTGCCGTTCGCCCTTCATTCAAAAGGCGTGCGGCAATTCCACTTGTTGCCATTGCCATACACTTGACATTACGACCACAAAGATAACCCAATATGGTATTATACAAAAAGGTCTTACCTGTACCACCAGGACCATCTAAAAAGAAAAGTCGATCTGGAGAATCAGAATTTAAAACGGCAGTGGTCACCGCATTAAAAACAATGTATTGTTCTTCGTTGAGCCTACCTACATCCTCCTCTAGAAAAGTAATGTTTTGGTTATCAAAATCAATATTGTCATTGGAATCACCGCCAACATCAACAATGTTTGAATAACCAAACTCATTCAATTCTTCGATATTAAAAAAATCTGTAAGATGTTTGTCTGATGATGACAAATATTCTTCAATGGACAAAATTGCTTTGTAATAGCGATTTTGATCATTGCGCCAATCATCAGACATAGCATCAAGATGTGTCTTTAGTAAGCTAAGAGGATCTAGCGGTTGTCCAAACACAAGAAGTGTTGCAAACAACCGCCGAACTTGTTTAGGCAACGCAATGACAGTTGCCTCTTGCAGACAATTTTCCCATTCAGAATCATCTTGTAAAAGTCCTCTTGCAATACAAGCGGCCTTGTACTTTGGATGCACTATATCATGAAAACAAAGTAGGTCCTCAAATGAAGTTGGTGCCTCGACATGAGTCAACAACAAACGCAAGTAAAATACTTCGGTACCTATGGGAACCATGTTTATCCGACCAAAAACTTTTATCTTACGTACTCTTCTTTCCCACATGTTATTCTTCACATCCCACTTGTAATAGAGTGAAAGATCCATGTAACGAAGAAGCATATGATTGCCTTGATTGCCAGAAGCAATTAAGGCACGAATATGGCAATTAAGCTCAAAAAACTTGGTGAGTTTAGTCTCAGCATTTTGATCAATCACCGAGTGCAAAGATGTTCCTTCTTTAAAAGTAACATATTGCTGACCGGGAAGGTGAACAGGAAAACGACAAATACTATGGCTCTTATTATTAGTTTCAAAACCAAAGAGCCTCCAACATGCTTCTTGGGCGGCCACATAACGACCCTCCAAGAAATCCTTAATCTCATCTACCACTTCATCTGTTTCTACAACACCACGATCTGGACCTTTAAAAATATACTTGTGGAGGTATTTGACAGTTTTTATAGAACTGCAAATTTCCACATTAATGTGACAATTAAATCGACCTATCAAATATGGATTGTATGGCACAACCCATCGATTGTCTAAACGGAAAATTTGTCTACATACACGTTTCTCGATATATCGACCTTGATTTCGATGACGGTACAAAACATGTCCGTCACCATCCACCTCGGTAGTATCTCGAGCTTGCATCGGATAGTTCTTTGTACATCTATCGTCTTCCATGCATGGACAATTGGGATTGTCCAAACCACATGGTCCATGCATCATGTGCTTGGCAACCGCGGCATACAATTGTGGTTGTCTATCTAAATCGGGAATCTCCGCACATACTATCCTATCTACAAAGTCACAGTCATTGACCTTGTCTTTCAACCAAAGAAGAATGTGTGCATGAGGAAGACCACGTTTTTGAAACTCAATAGTGTAACAAAAAGCAATTGTCTCTCCCATGACATTCTTCTTCGTAATCTCATCCATCAATGCTCTTAACTTGAGCTCGAAAACATGCACAACAATATCTGGACGATCAAGAGGACTTTGACCTGGCTCAAACTCATCAAGAATCTCAGGCCAGGTCGGATTACATGTCATTGTCACAAACAAATCGGGTTTTCCTAAAACTCTAACCAAAACCATACTATCATGAAAGAGTTTTTGCATGTATCTGGGGGAACCAATGAATGTTGCAGGTAAGACAATGCGACGCCCAATGCGTGCTCCATTGTCTTCCTGCAAAGCAACTACGACCCCCTGATAGCACTCTGCACAAAGTTCAGTTTGATGTTGCCTAATGAAAAGCAAATTTTCATGTTCTATATGTAAATACTGATCCACTACATATTGCTGGAATAATCTACCAGCCTTATGTAATACATTAGATTCTGGGCGCTTTTGAAGCAAATATTGGACATATGACTTTAAAGTCACTCTAGTATCTGCTTTAAAAGTTGGTGACCACCCACATCGTCCATCAGGAAACAACAAAGGATAGGATAAAGCATCGTAAGCTGGATAAATTTCTTTTATTCGTATTAAATCTCCACCACGTTGGTGAAGAATAATATCTCTACCAAAATTCATATATTGTTTGTCAAGAACAACAGCAGCAACTTCTGGAACTACTTGGCGATTATATCGATGGGGATGTTCACCAAAAGGAACCTCACCAGAGATACGAAGTCCCATGTTTTGTCCCCTTTGAAGAACATCACGCGAAGACTTAAAACCACGAACCAACGCATTTATGGATTCTAAAACTTCTTGAATGTTGTTAACAACATCACGATGAAGATCATCAAAAATCTCCATATGACGATTTGTTTGTAAACCATCATCCAAGAAATAAATTTGTACAAATCTAGCACCTTCGTCTAAATCGGGTTGTAAATTTTCAATGTGATGGCATAACTCTCCGTTCACACGAAAAGTATATACCCCTCTACCTTCAACTTGGCCAGACTGAAACTTACTACACATACTTGTAAATGCAAAAGCTTGATTATACTTTCAAATGGATTTAAGGAACTCTCGAGATTTAGGTGTTGTGCCCATATAAAGCTCATTGAGCATTGGATGGACAATGGGGTGATTAACATGTTCATTGGCAATTTTGCCATTGTAACAACAAATGATATTTTTTTTCTTTTTTAAAACGAAAAGCCAAACATTTTGGACATTAGATGCACATTGATCCAACACTATCAACATTGACATCTACAAAATTATCAATGGTAGACAAAGCACGAGCCATTCTCTAGAAAGATGACAATATAATAAAAAAAGTGGAATTTAGGATAGGAGAATGAAGACCCTATCATAAATTCTAAACTCCACAAAGATAAAAAGATATATCAATAAATAGGATTTAGTGTAGGATAGAAGAAATCCTACCCTAAATCCTAAACTCAACAAAGATTGAAAAAATTGATAAGAAAAAGCAGAGTTTAATGTAGAATAACAAAAATCCTAACGTGAATCCCAAACCATTTCAAAACTCACAAAAGTAAGGTTTTTGATAGTACCTTTGTAAGCTTGTGCTCCAAGAAAGTTGCACCTTTTGATGAAATTTGACTCCACTCTAAAAAGTTTACGTTCAATGCACTACACTTCAAAGAAAAAAAATAGATTAGGTTGGCGCTTGCTTTGCAACACATTCGTAGCCAAGAGGTATTGATCTAACACACAAAAAACATGCATGAAAACAAATGTGATGAACATATTCTCAAGCCATACTCTACCTCCTAAGTTTAGACTCTAAATTTTTTTTTTGAAGACACTTAAAAATGTCGATTTTTGAAAACTTTTGTCACAAATCATTTTCTTTCCTACAAAATGAAAATGCACCTAAAAAGTCCAAATCCGAAGTCGGAATTCAAAAATAATTAGTATTTTGGGAGATATTAACTCACTGTTAAATGAATTCTGCCCAAAATACAGTTTCATCCATAGTGGATGAAAAATCATGCAGTGGATGAAAAAATGCAGCGGATGAAAAATCATGCAGTGAATGAAAAATTACGCAGCAGATGAAAAATCATAGTGGATGAAAAATTACAGCAGATGAAAAATCGTGCTACAGATGAAAAATCATAATGGATGAAAAATTGTTGGGCAAAAAAAAAAAAAAAAAAAGTTAAAAAAAGTAAAAGTAAAAGTTTCGGCGATGTGCACATCACAGAACATCAGCTGCTCGTTTTTGAGTCCTTGATGTTTTTTGTTTTTTGTTTGGTTTTTTGCAACTAAAACCACTAAATTTCAACTTGATTTGAAATTTTAATGTTTGAAAACTTGATTTTATGATTACCCAAAATCAAAAATTACCAAAAATTTCAATCTTTCAAAACCTTTCAATCTTTCACAATCTTGCAAAAATTGCAATCTCACCTCAAATTTCTTGAACAATCTCCACAACTTGAACTTTGTAACTCCAACTCCAACTTTGTATTCAAACCTCCAAGATCACATCAACCAACTCCAACTCCAACTTCACAACTTACAACTTCCAACTAACAACTTCCAACTTACAACTTCCAACTTACAACTCACAATTTACAACTCAATCTTGAAGTGCACAATCCAAAAAATGTTTTGAACATCAAATTTGTAATCAAGAGCTTCAAAATTGTAATCAAGAGTTTCAAATTTGTTTTGGGGTAAGCTCAAATTGTAACACATACTTTGGATTGCACACACCCACAAACTCAACGTTCAAATTTCATAACCGCGCAGTAATAAACGGAGCAGTCAACCGCGCAGTCAACAAAAGTAAAAGTAAAAGTAAAAGTCACAGCCACAGTAAAAGTAAAAGTCATAGTAAATATAAAAGTAAAAGTCACAGTAAAGGTAAAAGTAAAAAGTCACAGTAAAAAGAAAAGGAAAAGGAAAAGTATAGTTGACTTTTGATAGGGCTTATGATTTTAGTAGTATGATATAGTAATAATTTATTTTTCTACATCTTGTAAAAAAATTAGATAGAATAAGACAAACTAAAAAAAAAATTAATTATGTTTTACTTGTACATTATATTTATGTTAGTTCATTTTATGATACTCAAAACATCAACTAAGCATGATATAAATTTTTGAATTTCATCATAAGAAGTTTAATATAAAGTTAATAAAATTCATACAGAATACTGGAATGTAAATCTTAACAAAACATAGGATTATGATGTTTTTTTTACTCACAGTATCTACAAAAAAATAATGGGATTCCATGCGCCAATTAATCAATAATTTAAGAAACATTCAAAGAAATTTATAAGAATAGAGTCACTCTTATGTGAGCAAAACCATTTAGAAGTCTTACTTTCTATGCTTTGATTTAATTTCAAATTTTGTAACAACTATTATAAGAATGAATTAGCAATAATTCTTCTAGGATATTCATCATAATGTATTATATTGTTTTTAATATTAAGAATATCCTCAATTTGAAACTAAAAGATATTAAGTTGTGAATATTAGAAATTTTAACTAAAAAAAATATTATTATTTTTTACTATAAAAATACAAAAATTAATTAATAAAAATTCATTAAATAACATATATAAAAATATTATATTTAACAAATACATAAATACACTCAATTATACACTCAATTAACTAATTGAGTGTATTTATGTATTTATTAAATATAATACTAAATATATATTTGATATTATATATAAATATACATATAATCCAAAATCATAACTAAATTTTAATAATAAGTATTTAACTTAATAAAAAAAATTATATATATATATATATATATATATATATATATGTATTTAGTTTTTAAAAAATTTATAAATTCATACAACAATTAACTTTGTCTTTTAGCATATTTACTAGAAGATTTCAAATAAAAAAATATACATATAGGTATAAACTTTGAAAACATCAAATTTGTTTTAATCTATTGTGGTGCTTATAATGTTAGCTTTGATATTGGCATTTGTGTTAGTTCTGCATGATACATTATTATATATATATATATATATATATATATATATGTATAATATTTAGAATTTGATCATAATTAATAAAATAATATTTTTAATGGATTTTGTATATACATCTAAAGTTTTTGTAAAGGAAGTAAAAGCTCTTTTTAAATTTTCTTATGACAATAAATCAATTATTTATTTCTAACATCTTTATTTGATATATTAGAATTATTCATAAATAATTATTAGAGAAATTTATCTAAATCTTATTAATATCAATATTAGAATTTGTTTTAGGATATGAAGTTTGTTAATCAAAATGATATGGTTGATGTCCTAGAATTTAACTTATTTGAGTTTGATACGATTTAATTGTAGTCATTTAATGTTTTACATTTACTGCGACTAGTACTCTTTATACATTTTCTTATATATTTTTTAAAACCAAAATATTTATAATCAATAATATCACCATATTTTTTAACATAAAAATAAATAAAAATTAAGTATTCAAAAATTTAAAATTTAAATTTTGAATCAAAAGAAATAATTATTTAAAAATAATTCTAGATTTATTTTAAATTTGAAACAATCATATTGTTCTATTTTTTAAATTTAAAATAATTCTATAAATAATAATTTGAAAATAAAACTAGTATAAAAATTATCATGCATTTGTTTCAAATGTCTCTAATATGGTAGTAATATCAAAAAGAATATATTCGATGCTGAAAAATGAATTATTCTAAACTTGGATGTTTTAAAATATTAGAGCTACTTCGAAAAATATCCTTTAGATCCAAGTGCTTCTTGAGCCATATTTATTTATGTGAACTTTTTAGTCAATCTTCTTAAATAATTATATAATTTAAATTATTCATACTCATATTTAAAGTTTATCTATTATTTAAAAATTCATTAATTAATTTTTTTCTTATTTTATTTACAAAAAGTATTAATATTTTTTTCGAATTAAATAATCCTATTTCTTAAAGTTATTTGTAAAACTTATTATTTATCATATATCAATATTATAAAATTCTTGGTCAAGGTTTATTTTTAGTTAATAAAAAAATAGAATTGGTAAATTCTATTTAAATATCTATAAAAATTATAAGTATTCAAAAATAATAATAAATTGACCTTATCAATTAAAGTGATTTGAAAACTAACTTAAATCACAAATATTATGTTTATTTGGCTTTTGCAAACATGATCCTGCTTCCAAAAAATTAAAGATTATCCATACCAATAGTAGATATTGTAATATTAATACATTTTTAAAAAAATATTAATATTAAATGTAATAATATCAAAAGAATTTTTGCAGAAATAAATGAAATCAATTGCATCATAAAACTATAAATGTTTAGAAATATAATTTTCATACAATCATTAAGTTTATAAATAATCAACAACTTTAATATATGGTAGTTAGAAATATTTGAATAATCAAATTTTGGTAATTTTTGTTCAAGTATGTGTGTCAATCATGTAAGAAAATTTTGAACATTGAATTGAAAATCACTGTCAAGTTGAAACTGGTAAATTGTATTCTATAGATACAGATACAACCAAGTTACAGTGAATCTAGATTTTAGAATATTTAAATTAATGAATTAGTGTAAACTGTATATAAATATAAATATAAATGTAGTTTTTGTGCATATTTTAGGTTAGGCAAACAGTTATTTCTATTACTACAATATTACAGTCTAAACTGTTAAAACTTGTTTTAAAAATTAAATTTAACATTAGACTTTTGATATTTTTTATTAGTGAAAATAAGACTGAAAAGTGTGTAAATAACATAGAATTAGTTCTAGACCGAATGATTTTTTCCAATCTAATTGACATCTCCTCTTTATTTTTAATTTTC